GCGGGAGAGAGATCGAGGCCGCCGTCTGATGGAGTATTCCGAGCATCTGCTCCAGGCTTGCCACCCTCCAGAGGAGCACCACTGGACCACCCGGTGGGAGCATTCACCGCCACGGCAGCCACCGGATGATGGCGTCGACGACCTTATGGATCAGATTGATTTCTCCGGTCTCGGAGGGCCCTAGGGGCTTGTTTTGAGATTTTTATCTGTGTCAGCATGCCAACTGTCTGTTTTGTGTCGGTTTTTGTTTCTTTTCATTCTGGATTCTGTACTATTGGGCTGACCGTTGGACCTAACGTATGTGTTTGAGCTTTTTGGTCTCTTTTAGCTCTGCCTTTGTTCCCGACTGGTCCTCTCTCCAGTCCGTCCCATGCCGACAGGTCCATTTCCAGTCTCCTGCAGTCTGTGCACACCGGTAACATCGTTCCCCTTTCTTTCCCTCTTCTCCATTGAGGGCAATGTCGATCTTAAGTGTGGGGGGGATGTTTATCTTTTGACTGCATTAGCTCTGTTTGTGTGCTTGGAGCCTAGTCCACTGTCCAAATCTTACGATTTGAGGGCTCCAAGTACTGCTGTTTGATCATATTGGCACTGTGTTTTGATGGATGAATTGATTGGTTTTCGGATTAATGCATGACAACTTGTTTGCGACTAGGACAACCTATGATGAGGACTAAAATGTGCAGTAGAACGATGTAGGGGTTCAGTTTTTCCACTGTTTGCTTGCCAACTGTGACTTGATCCGACTTGATCTGATTACTTCCTTGACAGTCGTTTATGCATCTAGTTCAGGGTATCAGAATGTGAGATAGAGCATATAGGTAGTCATGTGAGATTTGAGCCTGCTCGTTTCTTTCTTGTGCGATAGATCCCTCTTCCATGATGTGTAGCATTCACGTTGTCACTAGCTAAGATGATGGGGGCATAGGATTAGCCCACGCCCAAAACTGACTGTCCTGATGTGTCATATCCCCTAGTCAGCCCCTTTGAGCCGTGTGTTATCCTTTCTTTTGGTCTATAATGAAAAAATCACCCTTGTTGCATCTTTTAGAAGGTTCCACAGAGTGGTTTTATATATTCTCTGCTGTTTCTGCTAATGTCTATGTGAGTGTTGGAGGTAGTGCTTAAAAGTTGGGCAAGTGTTTGAAATTTATGCAGAAGTGGTGGCTCTCTTAAGAATGAAAAGAAAAAAGAAAGAAAAACAAAGAAAAAAATTGAAAGTAAAAGAGAGCCACTACCAAAAATCTGAATAATGCCCAGTAAGCAGTGTCTCTTAGCAGTCTGGCTTAGAAATGCTGATGATTATGCCTCCTTCGCTCTTGTGCTCTTAAGATATTTAGTAATGCAGAATAGCAGAAAGAAAATACCGGGTTGTTTGACTGTGATTGTGTGTTTGGAAAATGTGGAACCTTTTTGCTATGAATACTTCCACCACCTAAAAGGCCTTTTCCCCATGTCCAAGACCCTAGCCAGTCATTTGAACCTGTGTCTAAGACCTCCTGATTAGTTAGTGGTGACACCCCATATGTGAACTCTAGCATTTAGAGGCTTCCATCATGGTGAAGAGATGATAGGGATTGAGAGAAATAGCATGCGCATCTTTCGCATCAAAATTGTCCTGACCCCACTGGTCGAGAGTGAGTGATTCATTTTCATTTTCTATATGCTCTTGTACCCCGGTGAGGACCTAGATTGCTCGGTCTCTATTCTGATGTCTTGAGTTGGATGCATGAATTGACTGTTTTGAGTAAGTGGTTGAATCAAGTCTAGGTTGGCTAGTGAACAGATGGGAGACTCTTCCTTTACTCGATTTGCTGCACTCGAATGTCCTTTGTGGTGGTTGTCCAGGTTGTTACTGAGGTTGTGCATGTATTGATGTTTGAAAACCAGTGCGATTCACGTGTTTTGTGCCCTTATGACTTGTCCCCAGTGTTGGTTGATTGAAATATGTAAAGCTTACCTAGTGTCTGACTTGGTTTGCTTGGGGACAAGCAAACGGTTAAGTGTGGGGGAGTTTGATAGACCGATAATTATACATGTTTTTACCCCTATTCTGAGGCCGTTTGTGACGAGGAATCTCGTGTTTTAAGCCGATTTCACGCTAGGTTGTGTGTTTATGTCATATTTCAGGTCCCGGCGTTGGAATCGAGGCGGAGAAACGAGTTTTGGGTCGAAAGGAGCAAGGTTGGGACGAATAGGGCTGAAGGAGGAAAATACCCGGTCAGGTGGCCAAATACCCGACCGGGTATTAACCAATTTTGGGCGCCCGAGAAGCAGAGAGGGGCCCGGGCACAGCAGTTAAATGCCCGGTCGGGGATTTTGGTGGTAGACCGGGGATTTTCGCCTTTAGTGGAACGGTGCGTTTCACAATACCCGGTCGGACCATAAAATACCCGACCGGGTATTTTGACCTGGTATCGCGACCAGGCAGCTGATAAAAGAGGAAGAAGGCCAATTTTCAAAGGGTTCCGAGTTTTTGAGAGAGAAATCGATACCTAGAGAGAGAAAGCGTCGAACCAGAGTTCTCAAGCGCCATAGATCGATCTTCAACACCATTGGAGCCCGTCTTGAGCTTGGAGAAGTGCGATTAAACGTCCAGAAGCAGGAATCCAACTTCACAGTATGATTTCCGTGTCTGAATCTGCTTTTGCTTCTTTCTCTATGGAGTAGTTTCCCCATTCATCTGGGTATGGAGAACCCTAGATTTGTATGCTAGGTCTGATTGTATGAACCCAAGTACAGTGTTTGTGAATTGATTATATTCGATTGAGGTTTGAATGATTGAATGACTTGAATCCTGATCAAATTCCTGTTGTTTCTGCTTTGACCTGGAATGAGAATATCTGCCTAGGTTGATAGAGTACCCTTAATCGAAGGTGGCGAATTGGTGACTTTAGTCGAGGGGCCAATTCGCTATTCTGTACCGAAGTCAATTCGGTAGTGGAGGTTTGGTTCATTAGGGCCTCAATCTGTTTACTCCGGTGGAGGTTAGTCGCCCGCTAGAGACTCAGATTGAGAGGGTCTGGAGACCTTTAGTCGAGACTTCAGGCTAATTGAGAACCTTCTGCAGTATAACTTTCATGAAAACTGAACTTGGCAAATTGCAATCCGACTTAACTGCAGCCTAGGGGGAAACCATATCCGGGTGACCTCTCTTGACTTGACAACAAACCGTTTACTTGCTCTGTGTTTTGTTTGCTTGAGTTTCACTAAAAGTTCACTGCTAAATAACAAGAATTCACCGAGTAGTCATCACATCTAGGACCCGGGTTGACATTAAAACCCGACCCGCTATACTACGCTTTAGGAATTGGTTATACTTGGCCATTTTCTAGGGTGACAGTAGGAGTGAGTCAAGCTCCCATCTTCTCCACCCACTTACAGAAAATCTCACAGCCAAATTAGAACTCCGTTCACTCATTCTGAGTACAATGTATGTATGCATTTGTTTAGTATGATCATGTTTAAGTAGTTGTGTGTTTGTACTTCGCTAATTACGCATCATTTTAATTATGCTAAATATTCGGAGTAAAGCTGAATGTATAATGGCTTATGGTTTTGGATGTTGTATGCGATCATTATTTATTTTCAATTGCAGACATGAACAGATTTTGAAAGTTCCAGCTTCTTATTCGATGGAATGGTCGGGTGGCAAACTCTCAAAATGGAATCGGGTATGAAGACTGTGAATCCAGTAAGTTGAAGATTGAGACGGGATTCACGTGGCAAGAACTATATGACATTTGTGCATAAAGGGTTTGTATGGTGGGTCAGACAAGAGGAGGGCTTCTTGAAGATAAAATTTGACGCTGATGTTCGTGATTTCGGTTGGAGGGCTTTTTATTCTGACTGTTCGCCTTCTTCTTCTCAAACCGGTGGCAGTAGCGAACCAGAGGAGCAAGGCGTTTTCTTCTTCTTCTCCGGCCGGTTTTAGAAGACTGTTTCAAGGGAAATTGCGGTGATTCGTCTTCTTCTTCTCCAGCCAGTGTGGCATGACCGTTTCAGGGGAAGCGGTGGCGCTTCTCAAGGAGGGCAAGAAGGTCGTGTCAGAGGAAGGAGGGCGAGGGGTAATTTGGTTAAGTTTCCCATTTGAAATTCAGTTTGGGTGAATACGATAATTTAGCTATTCGAATTAGAAGACAATTAGTAAGTTTAGCATGACCTTTAGGGGTGGGCAATGGACGGGTTGGGTGGGTTTTCGTTTCAAATTGACCCACCCGTTTACTAGCGAGTTGGAATAATTGTGACCCGCAATCCACTCACATTCTTCTGTGGGTCTTGTTGGGTAGGTGTCAGATGAGTGCGGTTGGGTTGTGGGTTAACCCGCAAAAGCAATTCTCCAACTAACCATTAAGAAAATTGATTGACATTTATAATAAGTTCATAGTACATTAGTAAGACTATATCAATTTAAACACTTATCACTTTGTCTCAAGTGATTCCATGTAGTATTTGCATAAAAAATTTACTACTATATCAACCAATTGTGTAGAGAAACTTACGCATTTCGTGATTTTGATAAAAATTAATAATTTAAAGTTTTCATCCCAATATTTAATGGATATTAACAATAATTTACAATGAAATATCTAATGGATATTACACAACACAATAACCAATGATAGTAGCCAAAACAACTTTTTTTTCATGTGAAAATATGATGCAAATCATTCGGGTGACTAGCCCACCACCAGCTCACATAAGTGCGGGTGAGAGATTTATCAATTCACAATCCACCCACATCAATTACCCACCATTTACGGATCAAATTATTTATGAGTGGATCAATATCAATTCGCGAATTAGCCACCTACTTGCTCAACGTTTAACAATCGAGCGACTTAACACATTAAATGATGATAATAATTCTTTTGCGGGTAACCCTAACAAATCCGCGCATGGGCTACCAAAACGACAACGTAACAATATGGAGGAGACGAGTAGAGAAGAGGGATGGTTTAAATGTCCGTTTATTGAATTCAGCCGTTCTTCTCCACTCCCACACTTGATTACTGAGAAAGCAGGCTGCTGGTGGCGGCAGAAGGCGAGGAAAGCAGTTGGTAAAAGAAAGGAGCTTGAGGGAGTTGAGGAACAGTATGGGGAAGAAAACGAAGAAGCCCGGGAAAGGAAAAGAGAAAACCGAGAAAAAAACGGTTAAGGCAGAGGAGAAAAAGGCTCGCAGAGAGGCCAAGAAGCTCTCTCCTGAAGACGACATAGACGCCATTTTAGTAAGATTACCCTTTTCCAGTTCGTCATTTTTTCCTCTTTCAATCGAGTTGTTTGTTATAATCTGGCCGAGTTTTGAGCTTCTTTCGAGCGGCCTCGGGGTTTTTGTGCTCCTTGTTAGTGGAGCCAATTCATCGGTGTGAATTGAATGAGTGAACTTCAATACGAGTCAGTTGAATTTCTTCTATTCACACTGTGTATCAATTCTCGGCTGAATCTGGAACTGATCTCCGTTCTTTGTAGTTTGTCCTTCGACTTCCTTTGAAATGACTGGGTGTGCATATGATTTTTTAGTTGAGCATACAGATAGAGGATGCAAAGAAGAAGGAAGTCCTTGTTGAGGATAATGTCCCTGCACCGTCACCTCGATCGAACTGTACTGTAATGATCTCCAGTACTTGATTTTTGTTTTGTTTGCTAGATGAGGTTTCTGTTACCTTGCTTTGCTGCTTTATGACTATGGTGGTTTCTCTATGGTGCAGCTGAGCATTAATCCGTTAAAAGAGACTGAATTGATCCTCTATGGTGGTGAATTCTACAATGGCAGCAAGGTTAGTCTCACATCAAGATTGTAACTTTAACCTGAAGGTTCGATTGCGTTGATTCTTATGAGCTGCTGCAGACATTTGTATATGGTGACCTTTACCGTTATGATGTGGAGAAGCAAGAATGGAAGCTGATATCTAGCCCCAATAGTCCACCTCCACGGAGTGCTCACCAAGCTGTTGCTTGGAAGAATTATCTGTACATTTTTGGTACACATTCCATGATGAACTTGGGCTTATTTTACTTTAAGTGAAAATGGATGGATAAGACTTTGCCTTACCAAGTGTGATGAAACTTTCATGACTAGGTGGGGAATTTACATCTCCAAATCAAGAGCGCTTCCATCACTATAAGGTGACAAATTTGTAGTGATGCATATATGTAAAATTGCAAACTGTGCCTCTGGGGATTCAATGCAGAACATCGCATGTGTCTTTCTTTGTTATAGGACTTCTGGGTGTTGGACCTCAAAACCAATCAATGGGAACAACTTAATTATAAAGGCACCCCAAGTCCTCGTTCGGGTCATCGAATGGTTAGTAATCTTGTTTCTCATTGATGCATCAGCAATATAAATAGTAGAAGAGCATAATTTTGCATTTTATTTTTTTTGTGTATGTTAAGATCTTATTGCCATATTAAAAGATCACAACTACTTAGCGCAATATCTTATTGTCCTGGGTTTTCCTCCTGTGCCTATTTATGCAAGTGAATTACCTAGTGAAATAGGTCATTAGCACTTAAGGTGCACTATATGTCATTCTACTCTTCTGTAATGGCTACATCGAATCTTCTTATTGCTGTATGATGTCTTCCTTATCAGTGCAAACATGTCAATTGGGATTATGTTTTTTTACTGGTTATTGACTTACTACTTTATTCACCCATGACTTTAGTTTGTTGCTGTGCAATTATAGTTCCATAAGTGAATATTATTGGATTGTAACTATTGATTGGTATCTTAATCATCCTTAGTTTATTCTGTCACATATTTTAATTTGTTTCCAACTATTGTGTTTTTGTGCAGGTCTTATACAAGCACAAATTAATTCTTTTTGGTGGCTTCTATGATACCCTCAGAGAAGTAAGGTTGTTAATGTGTCTCTATATAATCGTTAGAAGCTTGATAATTGATGAACTCATTGGCCAATTGCTGGAGCAAACTCATTTGTTTGTATCTTGCAACTTCACTAGACCTCTTTATTTCTCAATTTCGTTGACTGCTTTTAATAATATATTTTTCATAAATTCATTACTTTCTGCATGTGCACACAAGGGGTAATGCTTATAATCTACTCCTACAAGGTGAATGAACTGTGCACAACTTGGTTTTTGGCTAGAAGCGTTTGCCCTGTTGGTTAAAAGGGATGTTGCATGATGAGTGTACCTGTATATAATGTCCCCCTATCCTCCCTTCTCCACTACCATCCCGCAGTACACTTGGTTGTAGACATTTCCAAAGCTAACCCCTACCCGATCCCTGCTGAGCTAAAAGGATCAAATCCTTATTTATTTTTCCAATTTTCTAGCATGCTGCTATACATGCAAACATCAAAGTATTACCGGCAGGGGTGCCCAATAGGGTGTGCCCGGAGGTCCTTCGACATAGGCCCTCAGAATATTAGGGGGCCTCCACCTAGATTTGTTAGTTAATCCAATCGTACATTATAGGTTGTACTTGTGTATGATTAATTGATTATGTGTCGATTTTGGGTTTAATTTTATTAGTTAATACTAGTACTAGTCATTGGTCAGTATTTTCATGTATATGCATGAGACACATATATAATGGTTGTTAAAGTCTTATTTGTGTGTTGAAAATCCTATTTCTGTTAAAAATGACACAACAAAACATAAATGGATTAGCTATAGGCTATAGCAATGATTGAAAATGATTTCATTGAGAATATGAAAATTAGAGAGCTATTAGATAATTTTATTTCGACTATGTTAGAAAGATACTAATTTTAAATAACGATGCTAGGATCATTTTCATTTTATTATACTTAGAAAATAATTTGGACTACACCTTAATTCTGGAACAGGGCCTCCACTGTCCATTGGACGACCCTGATTACCAACATTACTGTTTGGTTGATGAGTGAATAGATCAGATGGTTAATGAAGTAACTCTGAGCTTTAATGTTATATTAAAATCCACTTCCTTTTTTTTTTTTTTTTTTATCATTTTGCAACCTGTTATACTCAAACATCTGGATCAGTTTTATTTTATTAGGGCTTATTGTCTAATGGGTTTCCTGTAACTTGATTGTTGAGATCTTCATCCACTTCACCATGTGTGTTTCAAAATTCCGTTCTCTTCTTAATGACGAGCTTATTTGTCATGGGTGGTAGAAAACTAGAGATGAAGATGCAGAAGGCATGCTTCCTGCATGAGATGCATAACTGCCCATTTGGAATCCTGGCATTCTTTTAAACAGAGTGAAGCTTAAGTGTATCAGTCTTGAATCCTGATCAGTTAAAAATCTAATAGGATTTCTTTGTGTTGATCTTGTTTTGGTACTTCAAACTATTGACTTATCAAATCATTCCGGTGATCAGCCATGACGTTTGTGTTCATGCCGTCCTGCCCGTTTGTGCAGGTATTACAATGACTTGCATATCTTTGACCTAGATCAGTTCAAGGTGAACATTTTGGCTGCTAATCTGTTAGTTAAGTTATTCTTTTATCAGGCAAGATTATGTGGTTGTTAATTTCCCCCCTACAATTATGGGTGGTTGAATCTACAGTGGCTAGAAATCAAGCCGAAGCTTGGAGCTTTATGGCCTAGTGCCCGGAGTGGTTTTCAGTTCTTTGTTTATCAAGATGAGGTAAGTGAAATAGGAAGTTACCAGCAACATAAGTTCAGTTAGTCACTTTCGGCTATTTTAGTAATCAGCCTTTTTTGTGTGATTGTGTCTGCTGTTAGCATCCATGTCATGCCCTTTGTTAACTTGCATATTTAGTTGACTCTTGATTAGTTGGTTGTCTTCCGTGGATTTGGCATGTCATTTTATATTCACTACGAAGTAGTCTTCATGGATGGATTCAGACTGTTTGAACTGTTTTTATCTTGCAGATCTTTTTATATGGTGGCTATTCGAAGGAGGTTTCCTCTGGTAAAAGTAGCACAGAGAAAGGATGTGTTCATGCAGACTTGTGGTCTCTTGATCCAAGGACTTGGGAATGGAACAAGGTAATAAAAATCAGAAGTTATATTTTGGTTTCATATTTGATCTTTGAGCATGAATACTAAATCTTTTTTCTCTTTTAATTGTGAGACTCCACATGAATTATGTTTCCCTAATCACCTACTTTCGATAATGTGTGTACATGTATAGGTAAAGAAGAGTGGGATGCCTCCTGGTCCTCGTGCTGGTTTTTCAGTATCTGTGCACAAGAAGCGCGCTGTAATGTTTGGGGGAGTGGTCGATATGGAAATGGAAGGCCAGTATCTTCTCGTGGACGTTTTTGGTGTCACATTTGTGCTCTTGCACGCAACAGATTTAGAGAAAAGTGTTTTGACTTATAGATGGATTTTGAGTGCTTATCTGGCATTATGATCTTTGTCGTTCTAATCTCCTGTGAATTGGCAATCAGTTAACCAATACTCAGTATCTTTTGGCATCTCAATTAGTTTGTTATGGACTTTGTCTTCCTTCTTCCTTATCTTGGCTCATGGTTATCTTTCCTCTGTTCATGCAGGTGATGTAATGATTAGCTTGTTCTTAAACGAACTCTACGGCTTCCAGCTAGACAACCACAGATGGTAATTCTTGCCTGGTGTTATTTTTTGAATAGTGGTCAACGTTATTTAATCTCCTTTATAAGTTATTGTGCTTGACTATAATTGGTGATCAGTTGCTTCCTTCTTAGTTCATACAGAAATTCAATGTTAACGTAAAATATTATTGAAAAATTATGTTTTGGTACTTAAATTTTTTATTATGACATTTTAGTACCTAAACGTTTTCAAATTTACATGTTGGTCCAATGTTTAGTTGCCACTTGGATCCATGATCCATTGCGTGAATCCATTTGATCCATAGATCCACCAATCCATGAATTCAATCCATTTGCCACCTCTATTCTAAACCCTTTATGTCCTCTGTTCTTCATTTGTAGGAGGTTTTATTTGTGCTTCTGATAATCAACCATGCCATGTTTTCTGTTGGTTACAGGTATCCCTTGGAGCTGCGCAAGGAAAAGAATACAAAAGATAAGGTATGCCCATTCAATTTTAGCGAGCATGGAACTTCTTTCTTGTTAAAGTTCTTTATCAATTTTTGGTATATTGCCTGATATGTTGGCAAACTAATAAGTAGGATTTTGATATTTCTTTGCAGTTGAAAAAGATATCTGAATTAAGCAACAGTAATAATGAAATTGAAGACTGTTCTAATATGGAAATAGATGAGAGTATGGAAGAAACCGATAAGGAAGCTTATGCTGAAGCCAAGGTTGATCTCATCTCTGAGAATATGGGTACTAGCTTGAGTGTAGCTGATGCAGGCTCTTCAACCACTAAGTTTAGCGTAAAGGTTGACAAGGCCAAAGTGGTGCAAAGTTCAGCATTCCCTGAGGTTTGTCTATGCTAGAGTTGTTGTCTCTTGAATTAAGAGTGCAGCTGAACTTTAATTTCACTATACTTCCATATGCACTAGGTTGTGAAGCCCTGTGGACGAATCAATTCTTGCATGGTGGTCAGTAGAGATACATTATACATGTATGGAGGGATGATGGAGATTAAAGACCAGGAAATAACACTTGATGATTTGTATTCTCTCAATCTCAGCAAACTTGATGAGTGGAAATGCCTCATACCGGTTCGTCATGTTCCTGTCATTAAATCTAATTCATTCTTGTGCTTTATGGATTGGACAGATGTGCAAGCCTTTGAAATGATTTTAAGCTTCCTTGCATTTCACTCCCATTTTTCTGGTAATCTAAGCTTCTATCGCCAGACAAGTTAATTTGCTAAGAAGCCCTAAGGAAATTGTGCTTTCTATCAGCTTTTTTCATGATATGTAGCTGCAAGGTTCTGGTTATTTAACGCACATCACTTTTGGTGGCTCCTTGTTGCCCGCCCGAATCATATTTAAACAATCATCCTTTGGTTTTTGTCAGAAACACATTTATATATGGTTTCTATTATTATATTAGGTAGGAGAATTATTATTATGGTTAGTAGAGATTTAGTCCAATTAGGTTATTCGTTAGGGTTTTCCAGTATTTCCTATATATATGTACTTTGGGTTTACGTCATAATCAATGAAGAACAATATTAAGCAAAGTCTCTTAAACCCTAGTTTATCCTCTCAACTCCTAATTTCTCGTCTCATCCTAGTCCAAGGCCTCGGCCGATTCCCAATTCTATTCTGTTCTTCTCATCTAAATCCCTAATTCTTTCTCTCAAACCCTAAATCCCTAATTATCACGAGTGCCGAAGATCAGTATCGAGAATCACTAGAAGCGTGGTTCTCACAGTGGTATCAGAGCCTGGTTGCAGGCACTCGTACCAGAACCATGTCAAGACTCGAAGAGCTCGTGACCAGCGAACTCACAAAGATGTTGAAGTCGAAGCTGGAAGCGCTGTGGAAGAACGAGGTTGCCTCGTCCATGACGCTGTCCGGGAACAGCACGCGGGCAGCCCCATCCAAGGCCGCAGCCGCCGCGTCCAAGGAGCCGATGAAGGAAGACTCACCGCCATTGTTGAAGGCTGCCGTCGTAGACATGGATTTCGAAGAGTGGTTGGAACAACCTGCGTTTCCCGTCGAGCTCGAGAAGAGGAGGGAGATCGAGGAGCAGGTCCACCATGAGCCTTCGCCGCCGGCGCGAATCATGCGGGTGACGTCGCCCACTCCAGCCACGGCAATGACAAGCGAGGCGCCGGAGAAGAAGGAGAGGGGCGACTCGTCGCCGGTGAACGAGGACAGGCGGGCGCCGCCAAAGAAGGAACCGACGACGGAGGACGAGTCGGAGAAGAAGGATGGTGGCGGGTTGCCGCCAGAGGAGAGGACGCTGAAGCCAACCGAGGAGGCAGGGTGGCCACCGTGCCGGCGGTCTGGCGCGTCGCCGTCGCGAAAGGAAGTAATGGAGAAGAAGGAGGAGGGCGGCGTCCCTCCACTCCTCGTCAACCCTAGGCAGGAGCTCTCTTGTTTGGGCCAAGTGGTTCAGATTGCTTATGGTAATGGGCCAAGAGGAGTGGGCTTTCTAATGGAGAAAGTGGACAAGAGTGCCAGGAGGAAAGAACTTGATGGGCCCGTTTCGGGCCAATTAGAGCAGCAGAATGGGCCACGAATTTACTCTTTATTTGGATCTGTTTTGCAGGAGAAGAGTGAGGCCAATGTGGGTAGTGTTTTAAAGAAGATGGACTTGGCTGGTGGGCTTTCAAAGGAGCTTAGCCCAAACTCACTAAGAGAAGAGTTCTTTCACTCTTATTTCATGAACTTCGAAAAAGATGGAGAAGAATTGTTTGGCTATGGAGAACGCGACATGTGTCATGTGGAGAGACAAGGGATGAGGAAAGTGGAAGTTGCGCGAGAAGAGTTCATGCAAGGGATCGAGCGTAATTGGAAACGAAGAAAGCGGAAGGTCAAGGAGGTAGAAGTCAACTACAACCTTGAGGTCAAGGTTGTTCTCAAGGGGGATGGATTGTCAGAAACACATTTATATATGGTTTCTATTATTATATTAGGTAGGAGAATTATTATTATGGTTAGTAGAGATTTAGTCCAATTAGGTTATTCGTTAGGGTTTTCCAGTATTTCCTATATATATGTACTTTGGGTTTACGTCATAATCAATGAAGAACAATATTAAGCAAAGTCTCTTAAACCCTAGTTTATCCTCTCAACTCCTAATTTCTCGTCTCATCCTAGTCCAAGGCCTCGGCCGATTCCCAATTCTATTCTGTTCTTCTCATCTAAATCCCTAATTCTTTCTCTCAAACCCTAAATCCCTAATTATCACGAGTGCCGAAGATCAGTATCGAGAATCCCTAGAAGCGTGGTTCTCACAGTTTTCCTGTACAAAATTATGTATGCTGGATGGGAATCTGACTCAAACACACATTTCTTTCAATTTCGGACTAGAATATGAGTTGTGTTTCGCATGACGTGGGTGTGCCTTTTCCATATAGGCATCTGAATCTGAATGGGTGGAAGCCTCAGAGGATGATGATGACGACGAGGAGGATGAAGATGCTAGTGATGAAGATGACAGTAAGGACAGCAATGTGGATGACTCTGAGGAAGATGATGACGAGGATGATGTTACTGAGGTGTGTTCTCTTCCTTTATCAGTCAAAAGCGGGAATGTGGATTGTTATTCCTTCCTTACCTTCTGTCTGTTACTTTTCCCCCCTGAGATAAGGATATTCTTCCATGTATACTTGTACCAACAACTACGAGCATGTTGATGCTATGTTTTTTCAAATTCCTCATATTCCTCAACTTTTGGATGGGTAGCAGGAGGGCAATGATGTGTCCGGATCACTTCAAGTGGGAGATGCAGTTGCTATCATAAAGGGTGAGAAGAAAAATCTTCGAAGGAAGGAGAAACGAGCGAGGATAGAACAGATAAGAGCTAGTCTTGGCCTTTCCGATTCACAAAGAACTCCAGTGGTATTTGTGATTTTTTTGTTTGATCCTCCAATTTTCATTCTGCTAGAAAAAAGAAAAATATGAGCTTCATTCTCATTAGTCTTTCTCACGCATTGCCATCAAGCAATTTTCTTTCCTGTGAGGTGAGCATGTACCCCTTGAAATCTAATTTCGCCACTTTTTGCCAATTATTCTCTCTGAAGCCTGGAGAGTCTTTGAGGGATTTCTATAAGCGGACGAATGTGTACTGGCAAATGGCAGCACATGAACATACTCAACACACTGGGAAGGTCCGTGCGTCCAACTTGCCGATGTGGAACTTATGCTTAAGCTCAACCTTGCATGGTAATATTAAATGAACGTACAGCAACTCATATTATCATTTTTGTGGTGAGCTTGCAGGAGCTTCGTAAAGATGGGTTTGATCTTGCTGAAGCTCGATACAGGGAGCTTAAACCAATTCTTGATGAGGTACCCTTTTCTGATCCACGAAGTTTAGAGAGCCTAATTAAATCTGGAGCAATCCATCTTGACCTAAAATATTTCATTTCTGCATAATTGTAGTTGGCCATTTTAGAGGCAGAGCAGAAAGAAGAAGAGAAAGAAGAGGGGGAAACAAGTTCCAGAAAGAGGGGCAAGAAGAAAAGCAAGTCTAGTTCCCTGCAATAGACTCATCAACCAAGAGCGTTTGAGAGGGTGAGGAAAAACTTAATTTAAGCGCAATTTGTCATCCTTTAAGCTATGATTATGTTTGTTTTCTGGAAGAATTTGCAAATGGTTAATGGTAGAGTACTGGGGTAAGGGTCAGTTTCGAGGAAATCAAAGCAAAATTAGTGCAGCTTGTTACCAAAATCAGCTTGCTAGTACTTTTGTAAGGATGCCTATGTTAATGTGGCACACTGTAGACCCAAATGTCCAGGCTGATGCAACCGAAGCCTTCATAGCAGGAGCTTCATAAGAAATGAATTACTGTTCTTGTGACACCAAGTTGATGTTCGAAGTATGAATCATAACTATGAGTTGAGAGGATTGTTTATGAAGAAAGATCTTCATATTGTTTGCTTTACTTGTGGTTGCTACGACAGCATAGAACAAAGGGAAGGAATCCTGTCTACAAGCAAGAGAGTGGAAGGCCCCCGCAAACCATAACGTTCTAGTAATCCTCGGTATCCGGAGGAAGAGTTCTCGACAACATTGCCTCTAAGTAGTGGTTTAGGGACTACTACCGTGGATGTTGGCCACAAACAATCGCATCCCACCCGTGTTTTATACAAGCTCGTGTAGCACTTTCGGTCAAGACAGCACGAGAGTTCATCTTACGACACTTAGATCTTACCATTCTATATTACAAAATATATATTTCATTTGTTCAAGGAACAAAGTGAAAGCAACTGAAACTCTCACCACTCCATTGTCCTAAGATACAGTTAGTTCATCAATGCATACACGTTTGCTGTGCCCAGTTGAGCAGCAATCTTGGACAAGACAATGTACTACGTAAAACAGCCAGTTGCCATAATTAGTAACAGAGCTAGGGCATCACACTACGGTCCTAATATACATGTCCTAAGATAAGTTCACACCATGGAAAGTGATATTCTTGCCAACAACTACCCTGCCAATTCACCCACATGGTGGCGAATGATGTGAACGGCATAGACTCCCTCGCTGCAGTTATCAACACTGAAAATGCATTCATCCCCAACCCGAATATCATGGTCGACGGCGAAAGCTTCCCATCCGTACTCGAGTGCAACTTTTGTGGTCGATGTTCGAAGGTAGAGTACAGGCCAGAGTCTAGTTTTTGGATCCTTCAGCATCACCACCGTCCTTTGCGAGCTTAACCTTTCACCTAGCAGTGGCAGTGGTGCTGACAAATCCTGTGTGCATAGATATATGGAAGAGTAAAGTTTAACAGAAAGTGTTGACAACAGTCATATGTCTAGGCAAGGTTTACTTACCAAGTGAGTCCGGGTCTCGTTCGGAATAATATATGAGATCTGGGCTGAAATCGGTGTGGGAGGATTGCTGCCGAAACATATTGGTTCAGGTTTTAGTACCGCCATGGGTACCATTTCAGTTTTCCTCATCCGACTGCAAGTCGAATCAACCTTCATTTGCATAGAATCAACCTCATGTCCTGCAACTCCACAGAAGAAAAGGAGATCGCAGATTAAACCAAAGCAGGTTTTTGAGGCTTTGAAGCTGCTGAGTTGCAGGGAGAAAAGGAAAGATAAAGCAGTGGGTTTTTGGACTTCTGTTTTTGCTGCTCTAGTTCTAATAGTGGACTGGTGCAGTAATATTCACAAGAAACTGGACTGAGTTCTTTTTGGGTTTAGGTTGAATGAAGTTTGGTTTAATTTCCCAATTGTATTTATTGCCTCGGCGGGCCGGTTTTGAAGTTAAACTATCAGCCAAAATTGTGCAAACGGCATCTACCCTAACTTTTATTTATTCTGTCACCTCAACTTCTTGGGATTTAGAGGTGGTTTGCTGGTTTGATTTTGGTTGATTTACCACAACCACAAGTTTATTATTTGTTGATAGGTGCCAAATTTGAGGGTACATAGATTTGGAGTATTAATGTGGGCTCGAAAATCTTAATTTTTTTTAATTTGGGTTCGTTTGATGATTGAATTTGAAAACGAGGATTTGAGTTTTGAATTTTTTTGGATTCATGATAGATTTGTTGCATTACAATTTACGTAATTGAAAAGTCATTTGCTTGTGAGGTTGATTTTTTTTATTATCACGGATTTGTAACCTTTTCAATAAGGTTTCTAGCCTTCAAATAGATCCCAAATAAAATGTGTGATTTACAACAGATTTGATTTCCAATTTCTTTGACTCAACAAATAAGGGGAGTTGCTTAAATCCATCATACTTGAGATTTGGGTGACAAATCCATCACCCAAATCCAACAAGCGCATGAGGTTGAAGAGGCGCTATTGATCCATAATTCAAAAATATATCATCAAATTACCATGCTAACAATACACTCTAACAATGCACTCTTCAAATTGACAATGCAATAAATCCATTATCAATCTGAAGGTTTCTTTTCGCCAAAATCCTCAATTTTCAAATCCTTAATGGCTAATGATCCATAATTCAAAAATACATCACCAAATTACCATGAAATATAATAGATTCTCCAAATCCATCGGAAATCCAAAAGTTTGTTTTAACTAAAACTCTCAATTTGCAAATCCAACAAGCAAACAAACCCCTTAATTTCTAGTCTTGCATTATGTTCTTCTTACCGAGAACATCATCATATAATGACTTGTAGCAAATAAGTCCAAGTAGTGTGAGGCTTATTTGTAGTCTCATGAAAAATTTAGCAAAATCTATTACTAACAAGGTCGAGTAATGTTTAGTAAGCATGACCATGATGGCTCATAGGCCATACCAGTTAGAAGTTTGTGTTACGCATCCTTAACTCACACTGACCGGTACAATTAAGTTCAAACAAAATAACGCAACATGCAAAACGAGAAAGATGTAGAACTTTTAAAGTCAATTTCATATTGTATGAGCTATCAAGAACATACTTCCTAAGTACATTCCAATTTTTCTAGTTCGGTCGACATTTTCCAGTGTCGTTAAAAACAAAAAAACAATATAAGTCGTGTCACATGTTTGTGAACTAACACATCCATTAACCTACTGACTTGTCTACAAATATTGTCAACAATTTGACGTTTGCAAACGATTACAAAAATCTATGCTTAAGATTTACAAAGTTGTAATTTACCATTTACAAACTACAAACATGTTTTGTATAAGCCAAAATTGATAGCTAGATATGCTCTTCGACATTTGGGTTACAAAGGCAAGAATAAAAAGTAGTAAGAGCTACTACTAACCTGACAGTCGCTTCCCAGTTCTCGCAGCCTTGAGCCCCAACTCTAGCACCTTTGATGGAATGGAGAACCCCTTGGACAAGTTCTCCTTAGCAAAACCAGCAACCAACTTCTTACTCCTTTCAACTATATCACCACTATCCAGCTTCCCTGTTGCTGCAACCTTGTTTTTCCCACAGCCACCCGTTTTATGCTTCACTGTCAGTTCCAACTGATCACCTCCATCCTTCCTCTGCAGCTTCCTCTCAAACACCTGCGATCTCTGAAACTTACCAGCAGCTGAATCAAGGAGCTTTTCAGTTGTGGCTTCAACTTTGTGCAACCCTTTAGCACTCCTTGTCTGCACTTTACCCATTTCCGCATCCCTTGAGCATTCACCATTGACAAATTGGTGGGGGTTACTGTAGCTAGCAGAGAGCCCATTATTCCTGTTCCTTGTAATATCATTCGACTTCTCTTTCTTTGGCCATTTCAACTTGGGTTGCTGCAGTTCAACATGACTAGCTCTTTTGTTCTTCTCGCTCCTGCTAATTGGAACATCCCCCGACTCTTCTCCACGATCCATTTTGGCTTTCTCACGGTAACCTGCTCTTTCATTAGATGCCGCCTCTGGCTCATCATTTTCATCCTCCGTTTCCAAGTCTATCACCGTCGGGGTTCTCGCACTCCCTCCATTCCTCGGCCGTTTGTTACCAGTTTCAGTGCCACTAATACCTTGCGCAGCTGGGATTCTGGAGCTCTTCTTACCTTTGGACTCTTGATAACCCTTTTCATTGACGACCTTGGACTGCTGGCCTCGGAATTTTCCAGTGTCTGAACCCTTGTCACCACCATGGTTGAAGCCATGTGGTCCAAACCCACCACCATAGTTGTTATGAGCAACTTGTTTCTTGTCCGATATTTGAGCGGCATTCAACTTCTCGCAAGCTGTTCTACCGTACATCCTGACTTCAAAGTGTGACTCGACGAGGTCGAACACAACGAAGTCTCCGAGTACCAAATCATGGTGTTTGACGAAATCTCCCCACCCTTTTCCCAACGCCAGCGAACCATCTACTTTTGCCAGCTCCACTCTCCACCGCCCTCCATTTGCGTCCTTGAGATATGTTCCTTGGCTCACAAACCCTACTACCATCGGCACAAATTTGGGAGGAAAGAACTGCAGAGAAAAGTTTTTGAGTCCATTCAAATGGTCCAGTGAAAAAAAACAAGGGAAGGGGAAACTGGAACAGAGACCCGGAAAATCTCACCAACAATTCAGAGAATCGTTCTCCAAACATGATCTTGAAGAAAGATGGCAAGCAAGGGTCTGTTTTTTTCCCTTTCCCGTGCAAGAAGGAGCATCTGCGGCTGCATTCTCTACAAGCCTTGCCGCTTCTCTCTCCCAATGAACTCATCCTCTCAGCTCTGCCATAGCTGAACTATGAGTTTCCTTGGTTTATGGGTTTCAACAAGTGTAAATGCTAGACAAATCCAACATCTTTGATAGACCATTTGGGCATTTGATTATAATTGTTGAGAACAACAGATTTTTGAACAAGAAAGAAAACATCTTTCTGTTTTTATTTCTAGCGGAAGAAAGGAAAAACACCAAACAAATCACAAAGGCAGTTCAGAGGTAAAGAACTGAAGATTACCAGCTGCTGCTGTCCGATGAAATCCCCTGTTTAGCTCTTTATCTCCCTGTCAATCTCTCAAGCTCTCTTTTTGTTTCATCAAACTTAACTGTGGTTGTTAGGTTGCTTTTCCTCTATGGTCTTTATTAGTTGTCCAGAGCAGAACTGGTGTATTTCCATTCATTGTTACTGATTTCGAATCGAAAGAAGAGACAAGGGGAGAGAGACAGAGAGAAAGCACATCTTTCTGTTTTGGGCAAAAATCCTCCTGGAAATAGCAAATGTGGACGTTTACTGAGATAAAAACAGCAACTTTAAATGGAAAGAGAAGGACCACCACACCGCACCACTGATCAGACCAGACCAGACTAGACTGCTGAAGCACCCACTCCTCCCAGCCAAGGAAGTTCTTGTTTTTCAGGTTTCTTGTTACCACTGTTTGCATATTATTGTTTTTGTTTGGCAAAATACATCGGCATAATCACAACTTTTGCCCTTTTGTAAATAATAGTCACTTTTGAAAAATACACAAAACGGCCAATTCCGTCATATTCTTTAACGGTGTTATCGTACAATCTGACATGACAAATAAAAAAGCTGACTTGACAAGCTTTCTTCAACGAAATCCAAGTGGATGAACAAAAAAATAAAAACAAAAACAATGAATCTCACGCCCACTTCTCCGCAATCCACGATTTTGAGGTTGGCCGCAGATAAGGGGACCAGTGCTAGACGAATAAGAACGATGAATCCAGAAGCAACAAAAGATAGAGCAGTCACAAACGAGATGGGAAGAGGTCATCGCCGACAGAAATCGCTTCGATTTGTCCTCGGTTACTCCTCTTCTTCTTCCCCTATCTTGCTCGATCTGGCCTCCCCTCCTCTAACCTCTCATCTCTGCTACACGAAAGTCGATATACATAGACGAATCTGGAATTGCTCTATATACAATCACCATTGAGATTTGGGTTTGGGGAAAATTCTTGGTCGACTGAAATAGAAAAGAAGGGTTGGGTTCTGGGAGATTTGTTTTTGTGGTATGAGTGTCTTCCTAATCTGGCGGTTGTAGAAGATCTCGCTGATGAAGGAATGAAGCCACGACGAGGACACGGGGAGAAGCCGACGATCGAGGTGGGTTGCTGCTACTGGTTGGAAGAATGGGGAGAGGGTTGCACCTTCCTCCTCCGCCATTCTCCGATGTTGATCCCCTCCTTGCGCCTCCCCTCGATTTCAACGACTTCCCTATCCTCTCTTCTTTCCTTCCGAGACAAATTCCATCCCTTCCTCTGACTCGGGCCATAGGCTTATGTCTCGTCACATTGTTTTGGAAGTGGATGAAGGTAAATCCGACGGCGAGGGTCGACTCATTCGGAACCCTAGACAAACTATTATTTCCATGGAGAATGATGATGAAGAGATTAACAAAGGCTAGGGTTGGGGAACAACCATTGAAGGGGTGGAGCTCTAGTTATGATATATCATCACAAGTCGACGGGAGAAGTGATGAAAGCCAAAGAGGGAGAAGGAAGATCGGGCTAGAAAAGTTGGTCGGTAACAGTTTGTTAGAGGAATAATGAAAGGTTCGAGTTTCATTGGCGAGAGGGTCGTCGCCACCTCCGTCGTCAGCGAGCATGGTTGTCACGCCGGCCGGCGTGCCACCGGTTGTACCTGGTTCAACCGATACCGGTGATAAAATCGGCGTGACACCACCGGTAGAACCGGCATGATCGATATACGAATCTCTAAGTAAAATGACCTTAATTTATTAAATTTAATTGTTTATTTTATGAGTATAAAAATTAAATATTGATGTTATTTGTTGGATTCAAGTATAAATGTTTAGGTATTGACGTTAAATGTCATGTTTAAATATGAGTATTTATAATATTGACCGACATGAACCGGCACAAACCGGTATGTGCCACCGGTCGAACCATTCCACTTGCTAAACCGGCACACTGGCATAAACCGGTTTGACAACCTTGTCAGCGAGTAATCTGAAGCGAGTTGATATGAATTCAGGAAAAAATAAATAAATAATGATGTGGCATCTGCGTGGTAAGTTTGGTCGAGTTATAACTATCGTGTGCGTTGAGTTGGCATCCTAGTCAGCATAACATTAACCTAATTGACAAGGTCTTTAACACCGTTAAATTTTGTAACGAAAATGGCTAGATTTGTCATACACCCATTCAAATTTTCAGCTAGTTTGTGTGGTTATCAGAAAGTGGTTATTATTGTCACAAACACGAAAGTGTGGCTATACAAGTATATTTTACCTTTTTTTTTCAAGCCAATTACTTTATCTGTAAGAAACTATCTTCTAGGGTGTCTCGGTTCCGATTTTAGGCACCCATGATTACTCGCAACTAATAAGAATTTAGGGATTGACAACAAAATTTAAAGATAGAATTAAGGATTATGAGAAGAATCTGAGGATTTGGGAAAGAATGGCCAAAGCCTTCAGGAAGAAGGATAGACGAGATTGAGAGAGAAGAGAGTGGGATTTGAGAGATAATTTCTTCTTTTACTCTTTGATTTATTATTAAGTAAGAATCCACATACATATTTATACAAAAATATCGGAAAACCTAATAATAAAACTGTATCCCTAATGGGCCTTATTTAGCCGCCAATCTTCCCATAATTATTAGTAACCCTACTAATACTAATAATAGGATAATATCCAAAGTGAGTTTCTAACAATCCAACCCCCTTGAAAGCAAACTTGTACTCAAGATTGAAATCAACTTTTACTTTCTTGATCTTCCGCTTTCTTCGTTTTGAGTTTCGCCTAATCCCACGAATGAACTCTTCTACAACAACTCCAACATTCCTCGAATCTTCTCCAACTACGTGACGCATGTCATGTTCTCCATAGAAAATTGATTCCAAGGGCCCAGTCTCTGCCTCCCTAATGAATTCAACCTCCACAAACTCCACATTATCGATCGTTGTTGGTTGATGCCAAGAAGGAAGTCGTAGATGATCATCGCGCTACTGTTGCGATTTGCAACATTGGCGAGTCAATCGGATGAACCCTCGCCATTTTGGCTCCGCGACTTCACTCTATCTTGAAGTTGAGGTCCGCCCACCACAAACGGATCTACAAGCCGGGAGCAGATCAGGTCAGTAACTGATGGGTCAGTAACCCCTGTCCCCTGTCCCCACGTGTTAGCTTCCTTTTTTATTTAAATTAAATGCAAAAGGGCAGGAAGGTAAATTTGTACTTACCCCCTATTTGTTGCTGACGCTGACTTTTGACCAGACCACATCAGCGCCTCCTTCTCTCTCCTCGAAAACCTTTAATTTTCTTTCCCTTAATCTTTAACGGACGATTTTTCACTCGTTTTAAGTCAGAATTTAATTTTTTTTACATAGTTAGATCAGATTAATTGTGCTCTTCAAAATGATATCCACTTTGATATTTTTTGGACATAAAAAAATTTGTCAGTTATTACAAGTCAATACCATATGGTATTGACTGGTATTAAATAAGACCATACCATATGGTATGAAAAATTTGCCACATCAATATATGTTTCGTTACCACCCAATACCATATGGTATAGTGTGGTAATTTCAATATATATTTGGTAATACCACCCAATACCATATGGTATAGTGTGGTAATATCAATATATATTTCGTTACCACACAATACCATACATTACCATATGGTATAGTGTGGTAATATCAATATATATTTTGTTACCACCCAATACCATATGGTATAGTGTGGTAATATCAATATATATTTCGTTACCACACAATACCATATGGTATAGTGTGGTAATATCAATATATATTTCTCTACCACACAATACTGTATAGTATATCATGTTAATATCAATATATATTACCTAAAAGAAAAAAAAAGAAGGAGGGAGAGGAAAAAAACTCGTCTTCTATTTCGTCTCATTTCCTCCGCAATCAAGAACACCAAACGCCAAAAAAGGGAGAAAGACCGAAATTGAGGCCAACGAGTTGATGAAGAGACAAAAAACGCAATGAAAGAGGGTGGCTGCAATTTTTCTTCGTCAATTGCTGGAGAGAAAAAAAAACGAAAAAAGAAGAGAAGGAAGCAGATCTAGATATGGAGAAAGAGATTGGAGAGAAAAAAAGGAACAGAGAAAGAGAAATGATCTAAAAAGGAGATTGAGAGAGAAAAAGGAAGAGAGAAGGAAGGGAGAAAGAGAAAAGAGAGTTGCAGAGAAATGATTCTCTCTCCTCCTTTGAAAAGGCAGCCATTAAAAGTGGTCTCCTTTTTTGAAAAAGCGGCCATTAAACTTGGAATATAATAAAAATAAAAATTCATAATCGGACAAAAATGCCCTTCTGGACCCCGCATTCAACCCAGCCACATGATTGATCCGCCCCTAGATCTACGGTGTGCATGCATTTACTGATAGGTCAGTAACCATTGGTTACTGACTCTATCCCAGACCCTCCAAGCCCCCATTCATCTGGTTCTTGATAGAGGTGCAATAGCCAGCAGGGTTGGAAATTTGACCACCGCTAGCAATTGTGGATGATTGTTGGTCATGTGGTGGCGGCTCAAGGCTCGCTCGAACAGCTGAACCTGACTTTAGCGCTGACTTATTGGCTCCATTGCTCTCTATACTGTCAGACTTCTTCTTCCAAAATTTCCAGTTCGCTACGCAACCTATTGTGGTCTTTCTCTTTGCACCTTATGCCCGAGATTCTCCTTCAGAATTTACTAAGTTGTCATGGTCAAAGACAACGGCCCAAGGAGCATGATTTCCTTCTTCTTCGACCACTACCGGGATAATCATTCCGCCAGCTTTGCTCAACCCTTTCTACTTATGTGGGGCAGCTACGACTTCAGTCGCAACATGTGGTGATGGTGGTGGTTGAATCGATGTAGTGGAAAGCATGTTCGATGTCATTGGTGATTGTAGTGGCTCGGCAGTGAGCCAGTGAAAACTGTGATGGATTGGGCTATCATTAACATTGGCTTACTCTTTCCCTCTTCCGTTGGATGGTCTACAACAACTAGCATGACAACGATGTTACCGCTGGATGCTCATGGTAGAAATGCAGCAACCTTGAACTCATCTTTCCTCACAAACTCGT